AGCCCTTCTCTGGTCTCCACAGCGATGCGTAAAACCTCACCTGGGGCTAACAGGTAGGCTGTACCTGTTGCCAATGACCTTGCTTTCCCCAGCTTGTGTCTTGCTCAGCTGAAGCTCCCAAAGGGCTCATGGGCTTGGGCTCAGGACCATCTGCTTTCTTGAGTCAACATCAACAGGGTCAGTGCATTTGGCCGTGACCTCTTCCCCCTTGTCAGGGGGGCTTAGCATGGTTGCTCTCCCAAGGGTACCTGAAGGCCTGACCGCATGGCTGACTGCCTGCCTGCTGCCAGCTTCAATAACCAAGAACAGAGGGAAGCTCGCCTTCCCTGCAGTGCCTCCACTTTTGTGATAATCCAGATCTCTCCGAATGATGTCATTGAGATACTTATTTGCAATCTCTCATCTTCTATGTTTGTCTTACTCCTGATCTAGGAAATGGCCACCGGACAGCACAGCTGTCCCTCCTAAGCAGGCAGTAGCGTCCTTGCCACTTTCCATCTGAGGGTTCTTTTTTCTCCCCAGTCTTAGCCTCACACTGATGAACTCTAGTGCTGAGCAGCTAAGGTGAGGCAGTGGCCAGATTGTACCTCTCAGGTCAACAGTAAAATTTATAATTACATTTTCTTTAATAGGAGAGTGCTAGATTGAAAAGGAGATCAATAAGATGTTTTTCTAGGACTAGAAGGTGAGACTAAAGGAGTTAGGAAATAGATTATTTAGAACTCTCTTATTGTAGGTGACAGAAAACCCAGTTCAAACTTGTGTAAGTGAATAGATGGATAATCAGCTACTATCACGAAAAGTTCAACATGCGTATCTTCAGCCAGCGTTTGAATCAGGGGCTCAAATGATGTTATCAGGCATAAGCCTCTTGGCTTTCTCTGTATTACACTCATGGGCTTCATTCTTGAACTCTGTGGGTGCCCTTTAGCTCTAAGATGTCGTCAATGGCAGTGTTAGTCATCCTAACAGAGAAGATTCTTTTACTGGTGTACCTTCTCAAGACTCAGAATTAACTATGATTGCATTACTGTGCATGCATGCCTGCTTCTAAGCAAATGAACAACTCCAGATGTGTGGACCATTGTTGCTAGGTATGCCTGGCTCATATGCCCATCTTTGAACAGCTGATCTGGCTAAGGAAATTCAGTGCTTTAGTAGCCTAAGCATGGATCACATGATCCACCTGGAACCACATGATCTGAGATTGGGGGTAGAGTGGCTTCCCAAAGGAAATCTGAAGTATGGTAACCTAGGGAAAAAAGAGAATGGATGACAAAGAAGTAGAAAGCGACAAGTGACCACAACAAGAAGCTATTTCAGAAGTCCAGGCCTGGCCCAGCATATGGTGAAGATGAAATATGTAACAGAATTGTCTTCAACAACCTGCGGTTCATGCATCTGTGCCAAGACAGACTGTCCCACCACCACTGGGCAAATCAGACCCACTGCAGGCCCATGGATTCTTCCATACCTCTTCTGCTAAGTGTGGTGTAAACTATAGGGCTGTCTTGAGGAGACTTATACCGACTTCTCAGCCTTCGTGTTAGTGAAGCTCATGGGTAGCTGAGTCCTATCATTAAACTAATGCGTCATTTAACATCAATGGTTTGATCTCATCCCCAACCTTTTTATCCAAGCTGTTACCAGTTGTCACATGAGGTGACTGAAAGGTTCTGCTTCTCCATATTATTTGGTCTCTCATGGAAAAGCCACACAGGCCAGCGCAAGACTAGTATCTTCTGGAGAGAAGGCCAAATCATGTATGTATCCTTTGATAGTTTCAAGTCGAGTGAGGATTGTGAATTATTGCTTTATAATGTTTTCAGTATTGAAGTCTGGGTAGATAACACCTGTGTTTGATCATTATGTTTCACCAAAATTATCTTAACATGAGCGTATAACAGGTTTACACTGACAGAAACAAAACGGCTAATACCTGTTACAAAATTGCATCACATTTCTTAAAATTTCATTGAATGGAGCTGAAGTGGGATAAGTTTTGCCCGTGGCAAAACCGTTCGATTCAGATACAGCAAAGTTATCAAATTTACCTCCTAAGAGTACACAGCAGTCACTTAGAAATGAGCAGGGCAGGTCTCCAGTCCAATTGGAGACACAGAGCAGAGCTCTCATGGATGGCTGGAGTGGACTAAAAGCAGTTTAGAATCTCTCTGTCCGGTACACTTTGTCTCTAGTGTCTTTTTTCTTGTTTTTCCACCACTTTTAGTACTTTTACGTTTTATATGATTAGCTTTCAAGCAAAAGTTTTGCAAATCAACCATCAGCTTTCTTAATATTAAAATTAAATGTATAATCTACTGTTTCCTAGACAGAAAGGCATGGGGATACTTAAAATTGTGCACTCTGTACATTGACTGCCTCCAAAACTGCCAATCATGTTTGGTAACCTGACTTGAAGAAGCTATTGGATTTTCTTTATCCTTAGTTTTCTGATGTTAAATGGGAAAAATAATAAGATTATTGTAATGAAATGGAGAAAATAATATTACCTGTCTTTTAGGAGTTGTGGCACATAATAAACATTCAATCATCACTATGGCAATAGCTGTACTCATCAAGGTTATCATCATCAACAATTTATGTGTCTACAAAAAAGTGTATTTTGGCAAAATTTGGAAGTCAAGAAAATCATTGTGATTTAGTGATTACACCTGCATAAAATGTGCCACAGGAAAGTGGGATCAGGAGAGACTTTTGCATAAAAATCTAAAATTCTTTTTATTTTAAGATTCATTAGCATTTCCTCTTCATGGGAAGGAGGGTGCGGGATGTCCAAGAACATTGTATTTTACCCAAGGGAACACAGGGGGCAGACAGTTGTGCATAAGGAGGAGTAAATGCCCAGAGAGACGCTTCTCTTCATCAGCAATGCTCTGAAGTCCTCGGGAGTCTTCTGTGATCTGTGTGCAAGGCACAAGCCCTGTCCTCGCCCCGCTGTGCACCCCTTCTGCTGCTCTGTCTCGCATGGCCCTCTGCTTCCACATTCCACTCCTCTCTCCGTGTTCGGTGCCCCAGAGGCTGACCTACGGCTGTGGTGGGTGCCCATCTGTGTTTCTACCCCATGGGCCCTGTGTGGAGGAATGTCAGTGGGGCCCCCTCCCTGCAGTGGACTTTTCTCTTGAGTACCTCGGTCTGCACCCATCGCTTCCGAGGTCCAAGCGTGACGTGTCTCTCTACTGCCTAGCACTGTGCCTGGGAAGCCTCACTGCTTGCTGATTTCCCTAAATCCTTCCCACACCTTTGGGAATGGTTACTCAGCTCCCCTGCGCTCTTCGCTTTGGGTAGGCTGTTTTCTACCGAGATTACCTGTTCCCTGGGTTCAGATTAGTCACCTACACTACATTGATGAAGTTCTGATCAATCAATGTCTTCTACTTTGATGCATTTTTTAAAATGTGGTGTTTTTCCAAGACCCATTAACATGACTCAAGTACTGTTTTTGCAGCTTCCTTAGAAAGAGCTGTTTTAATAAATTTACTTTAGGCTGGGCATGGTATTGCATGCCTGTAATCCCAGCACAGGGGAGGCTGAGGCAGGAGGATCATTGTAAGTTCAAGACTAGGCTGGGCTACAAAGCAAGCTGAAGGCCAGCCTGCACTGCATAGCGGGACCCTGTTTCAAAAAGACAAAAAAGAGAAAAAAGATGAAACTTAATTAACATAAATTTCTACTAGTAGTGAAAATTACACTAAGAGAAATATAAGTGAAAGGGAAATCCCCTTGATTTTATGACCCCATATACTAAGCTTCTTTTATTTTCTTCTTATCTACTTATAGGGAAAGACTTTCTCTTATTTTAGCAATGTTATATCACAAATTTTCCCCAGCTGCTTAAAACTTTAAATGTATTAAATTGTTTTTTCATTGAGGGCATGCAGTGTACCTCTGACATTTTTCCTCTCACGTAATGTGAAGGTTGCAAATTATTTTTATTTAGGGCTTGGTATGAAATTTTATTCTAGGACCAAGTATGTTACTTTGGAAACAGGTTTAAAGAATTCATTATGAGACTCAGATCTCATAATTGGAAACAAATTCACACATATCAGACTCCTTAATTAGCACATGCCAAACTTCCTCTCGCTTTTATTGTCCTTGGTAGTGAGTTCCTGCCATCCCGGAAGCTCACCCGCTTACAGCCTTTCCACCTGACCTCACATGCCTTGTGTTCTGAAAAAAAAATTCTTCTGTAGAACTGTTAGAGCAAAGTGGAGATGCTGCTTGGAACAAAGACCAGAGAAGTTCAAGACTGAGCTAGGAGACAACAAAAGAAAGAAAAAAAGAATTGTTTTCTTCTGGAGAGAAAGAATTGGAGTCATTTTTAGTTCAGAGTATGTGAGAAACAAGATGGCTAAATTAATCCCTTCTGCTGGGCTGGCTCTCAGGCCACTGGTCAGTGCTGCTATCCAGATTCCGTCTCTGTAAACTTCTGAGTCAGCTTCATGGTGGTGCAGAATCCCAAACTGGTTCCCAGCATTTTTCTACTAACTAAAAGTGCTCCTGAGTTCAGCAGCCAACACTGATAAACCCTGAATCACCCACTAGTTACATAGGGGTGATACATACATGTTGCCATGAGGCAACAAGTTGGGTCCTTTCTTCATCCTATTAAAACTCATTTGCGGTAACATATCTCTAGCCATTTGCAAAATGCATTAAAACAGCAATCGCCTCCTGCATCTTGCACGGTCTGGACCCTTGGTGTCTGAGAATGGTCTGCGGACCTACAGCATTGCCTTGGCCGGAGAATTCATTAGGAGTGCAGGCTGTCAGGGCGTGCACAGCTTTTTATGGATCAGAATCTGATTTCTAACTAGATTCCCCGATGACCCGTTCATACGTTAAAGTTTGAGAAGCATCTGATGTACTCACATTGGTCTAGTATGAGACAAAATGTGTTTCTTACATGTTTTATACACTGAGTCATAAAAGATTTCAGAGATCTAACTCTGCATCTCCTCCTTTGTGTTGCACAGAACACTTGTCTCCCAGATTGGCAAGAGAGGTTCAGGGAGTGCTACGGCCAGGTAAGGCAGATGTTTCTCTGCTGCTAATGAACCGATGTGCACGTTGACCCTCCAGGAAATAGGATGGAGATGTGAACAGTGGACATACTTAAAAGCTCTGACTATGAGGCATTATTTTCACCGGAATCTTTTATAACTCTTGTATTTATTCTGGTCCATTCTGGCTGCTCCAACAAAATACCAAAGACTGGATGATTTATGAGTAGTAGAGATTTATTTCTTACTTTTGTGGAAGCCGAGAAGCCCAAGACCAAGGCATGAGCAGATTTAGCATCTGACGGGAGTACTCTGCTTCCAAGATGCTGCCACATTGCACTGTCCTCGCATGCCACGGGAGCAGAAGGACAGAAGGGTTCCTCAGGCTCCATCCACTCTTCCGTAAAGTCAGGAATCTCCTTGGTGAGAGTGAATCCTGATGATCCAATGCCCTGGAAAGGCCCTTCCTCTTTATACTGATATGGGTTGAATTTCAACATAAACTTGAGAAGGATAAATATATTCCAATCATAGCACTACTCTTTCGTACATCTTGGGAGATGTTTGTTTAATTACTTCAATTAGTTTATATTCTTTATTTTTTTCATCTTCTTTGACCAACATAGGTAATTTCCTGTAATTTTTTTAAACCGGCTTTTCAATGGAAATGGCACTGGGGCTGCTGTCCTGCTTATGAAAAGGAAGCCCAAGTGTGACAGCTTGCTCACAGAGAAGCCGGCATTTCTCTGAGGTAGGAAGTGAGCGGATGTCAAGACTGCAAGTGTCTAAGATCTTATTTCACTTGCCAGTTCGCAGACCAGAAACTGGTAGAAGACATGAACCGCCTTGGTCAGAGACAAGTGATTTTATTACTCATTAAAAAGTGAGTTTATTTGTGTTAGGTCCCGATGTCCTGCAAGTCCCAGGGGGTGCTATGAAGTGTTCCTGCTCATGGAGTGAGTTTGAGTAAGCTTGAGGAACCCAGAAATTTTATAATCAAATACCAGCAAGCTTACCCTTTGACCCAGAAGGAATCGTTGTCTTTATTATACTGGACAATAAACAAACTTGCCCTTTGCTTCTAACGAAGACTGTCTTCCAAGGCTGTTTATCATACAAATGTCCTTGGGGAGAGTCTGAGAGAGCAGTGTCCCCTAGCTTTCCTGGGATGATTCAGAGGGAAGGTACAACTGGAAGGGCAAGAGTCTGGAGGAACGTCCATGAAAGTTTAACGAGTCATGCTTGGAAGCAAGGCGTCCCACTTGCTAACATTTCACTCCCTGCCCCTGAAGTGACAGATGTCTGACTTCTGCTTGTTGCAAAGGAGGATGGGAAACCCTACCTGTGCATGCGGCCAGAAGAGGGAGCAGGTTTTGAGGACACTGGATAGTCTCTGCCACTTTGCCGCTGTCCTAATTTAGCTGCAACTTTTCTGCTTTCATTTTAAATAAAAATGAATAAGCATAAATGCCTAGAGGCGGAGCTTTGAATTCCGCAGCGCTGCTGACTTTCAGAACTAGAAAGGCCTTTGGAATCATTACTTCCAGCCAATTACACGACCCTGAGTCATTTAAGTGGTGAGAAAACCGAAATTTAGAGACCTTAAACGTCATGGTCATGTGGCTTACTAGTCAGAGCTAGTTAGTTAGCTGGCTGAGATGATCAGATCGCCACTTCTCTCCACTCTGACCATTCACAGGCTTACAAGCTCACGGGACCATTTTGTAATTTCAAGTATCATTCCCTCTACCTGGGAATTTTTTTCTTTTTAATTGTGGCTATTGGGATTTCTTAAGTCACTGACTGTCTACATTGTATTTATAAAATACTTATTGATCCTACTATGACAGGTACTGTTCTAGCTTCTGGGAAGACAGCTGCAAACGAACCAGGAGAAGTACCCACCCTATACAGCTAACCCCAGGTGAGATTATGTGTTACACAGAACCTGGTTGATTTTTCAGGCTGCCAGACCTTATGGCTAGTTTATGGTGTAAACTATTAATTACGGATTCCAGGCAATTTATATACTTCATCAGTCTAAATCAGGGAGTAAACTTCGGTGCTTCTAGATTTCTTCACAATAATTTTAGAGCAACAGTGCCTTTGTATTTTATCTAATTAAGCTTTTAAAATATATCCTATGCATTACTTTTACAAAAAATAAGTTATGGTTTTGTTGTCTGTAGGTTAATAGGTTTTATTATGTTAAACATCAAGCTTAATTTCAAGTCTCAAAACAGATTGGATTTTTAAATCTCAAGTCTCAAAACAGATTTTTTTAACAGAAATCTTACTCATATGTTTTGATTTATCAAAGCATTTTATGTTTACTTTAAAACATTCTTTCTATTCCCTAGAGAAGTCCATAATGTACTCAGTGCAAATTGAACATCAGAAATATAATGTAGTCAAATGACGGAATAAAATGCAAAAGAAACTGCGGAAGCTTTGGTCTTTAAAGGAAAAATTTGTTTCTATGTTACATTTTGTGTGTATATTATGGAAATATCTGAAAGATACACAGTACCCATGCACAAAAATATTGTTTATGAACAAGTGCATGTGATGTAGTTTATTGAAAAAGAGCTCAATTTAAAGTAATAGTGCGTGAAATAAGCAGAGCTGGCTGCGAAGAGGTCTGTATTGTGAGTCCTAAGTACCAGGATCTAATCATGATGGTGCTTAAAAAATTACCCAGTATAAATATTTGTATAGCATTTTATGATCGAACAAAGCTTTTTTCCCCCCATACAACAATAGCTAGCATTTATGGAGCACTTACCTAGCATGTGTGGGCTGTGATTATGTGGTTAATTCTTACCATGGCTCTGTGAAGGAAGTTCTGTGTCCTCTTTATCAGTCGACTTTCCACCCCAATTCTTTAAGTGACCATGAGAGGGGATGGCTGTGGACTCCTCTCATCTCAGTTCTCCCAAGGAGTGCCTCTGTCTCCTCCACAACCGCCTCTTTCCAGAGCCCAGGTCCAATGAGGCTTTGGCCTGCCCAAGGCACTAAGTTGCCATGTGATAGAATCAAGATTTGCAAATAGATCACATTTTCTTCCAGATGGAACACACTGCTTGATTTTGTGAACTTGAGGGTCACTTAACTTCTCTAGTCTTTGATTATACCATCTCAAATTCAGGAATTTGTTTTAAGAATTCTCTATATAACCTGGTACTTCTAATATTCTGATTTTAATAGAGTCTGGTTCTATTTTTTTAATGCTTAAATATTTAAAATATATTTTCTAATGCAGGTAATATTAGTTTGTGACATAAAACTTTCAAAGCAGCAAAATAAATAACAAAAAGTAAGTTTTCATGATAGCTAATACATGGAAGCAACCAAAATGCCCGTCAATGGATATACAGGTAAAGAGAATGCCATGCATGTGCACAGTGAAATTTACTCAGCCTTATGAAGAGGAAGTCCTGGTCAGCAACAGTGTGGACCAACCCAGAGGACACTGTGCTCCATACAATAAAGCATGCACAGAGATACAAATACTGCCCGATCTGACTTTATGTGTGAAATCTAAAACAGCTGGACTCATAAACATCGGGTGTAGCGATAGCTACCTGAGCTAGGAGAGAGGTGAATGCGGAAGAGGGCTGTTGGGTAGAGAGCAGAGTTTCAGCTTAGATCACTGCAATGTGCTTTCGTGATCTACGGCACAGAATGTAACTGCACTGAGTAATACACTGTGTATTTCAAAATCACAAAAAGATAGATTTTAAACGTTTTCAACACAAAAATTGTTAAGTATATGATGTGATGGATTTTCCAATTAGCTTGATTTAATCTTTCCATATTGTAAACATACTGAAACACCATGTTGTATTCCATGAATATATATAATTATTGTCAATTAAAAGTGAATGTTTAAAATAGTGTTAAATAAAGGAAAGTGTAGAGAAACTATAAAGTCTTGCTGCAGGGGACATGGAGGGGGCAACGTTTACTGTGCAGCTTATTATCATCCTGTTTGACAACAAAGCAAAACCAGCAATTCTAGCACAGAAAGCAACTCTCAAGGGAACTTGCTGCTATATTTTGAATGTGGTTTGCTGTCTCAAAAAATCCATGAAATTTAACCCCAGTTATGAAATATTAAGCAGCTGGACAAGATAGAAGCTTTGAAAGAGGACAAGTGTGCTTCCCTCGTGTGGTGAGTGCACCGTGGGCTCACAAGCCATCTGCAGAGAGCGGGTCTTCCACAGAGTCCAGTTTGGCTCTTGTCTTGTGGGTCTTGTGGGCTTCCTGTCTCTGGCCACGTGACGCCTGTGCCACCACAGGTCTCTGCCAGCAAGAAAGCCACCACCAGGTGTAGCCTTCAAGCTGACCAGGACGGTGCACCTAAATAAACCTCCTCTCGTGACTTACCCAGTGTGCAGCATCATCCTCTTAGTGGCAGAATGGGATGAAGACACCTTCTTTCGATTACTGTACTGCCGTACGGGAACATCGATATTGTTAGGTAACGCAAACTCTATGAAACTCCTCCAGCAAACTTTTCTCACTTTATAGATTAAACGTTGTGCTTTTTTCAAGACAACAAAAATGAAATATTGGGTTAAGATGTTTACTTAGGTCAAAAACAGACATTGTGGCTTTCTATATATGTGCTTATTGCCTATAGAGTAATAATTAATTTCAAAGCACGGATATATTTAAAATGAATGCCTTCCTTGTTTTGTCTCTCTGCCTCCCTGCTGGCCTTCCTTCCTTCATTCCTTCCTTCTTTCTTTTCTGAAGTAGACAAAGTAAAGACACAAACACATGATCCAAAGTTCCAAGCAGGATTTGGAAATACAACACAGAACATTTGGAAATATTTATGAGAAGAAGGAGAGACGGGCAGGGTCCACACTGAAGCATTTCCATATAGAACTGCCTGGAAGGGCACACGTGGAGGAGGAGGCCGTCCTCACTGGGGAAGGCACGGCTCATCACACTCCCACACAAGAGGTCACGCGTGGAAATGGTCATTCATGTTGAGCCTTAGCAGAGGCAATGTTGTATGATCAATTGCACGTGACGTGTCTGGACATCCCCGGGAAGCTGGGCAGAGGCACTGCAGCTGGAAACATGGACACTGTTTCTGGAGAAAAACAAATGCTCAGAGGGTCAAGATACCCCTTCAGAATCCATCCCACCCCCAGGAGATGTGGGCAGTTTGGACACTGACAGGAAGGAAGAAGCTGGCAGCTCCACTGTCTTCCCGCTTCCCTAGGCAGCCGAGGAGGAAGGGGAGCGGGAAGTGGAATCACCAGAGGCCTCCAAGCCCGACAGAACCTGGCACTGAAGCTTTGGTTCCTACTCATTCATTATCTAGGTCAGAGGGCAGGTTACTTAATGCTCCATAATGGTTTCTCCTTTTGTTGAACCAATGCCATCTTGCAGGGTAATGGAGAGGCTCAAATAACATGAAATGGGCCAGAGGTTCTCACAGTGCGGTCCCCGGGCCAGCAGCAGCAACAGCAGCAGCTTCTCTAGGGTTCTTGTCAGAAATACAAATGATAAGCCCCACCCCAAACCTACCAGAAACCAGAATGAGTGAGAGCTTCCGGTGCACCACCACGGATGCTAAAGTCTGGGAACTGCTGAAGTAGGAGGAGCTGTGGCGGGAGCCAGCATGTGCAGGTGGGGACTGCATGCTTTTCCTTCCTTTGCTGCCTCCTCTAAGTCCCCACTCTTTCCTTATTTCAGGGTTGCTTTTTGTCTTCTCTTTTCTGTTGTGGGTAATAGGGTTGAGACAGACCTTGGGGAGAAGCTGAGTTGTCACAGATGCACCCTTCAAGGACCTTGACACTCAACCCACGATGCTTCGAGAGTCTCCATGGTTCTTGTTAAACCACCCTTCTGGCCCATGGAGAAAGCCATCAAGTCTTGGAAACCCCAAGGAGCAGAGAAGAAAGCTTGCAAGAGAGTTTTTCTCATCATCAGGCTGTTACCATTTGGAGTTTTGACATTGCCACGTGGTCCTCCTCACCCACGCAGATCATTTCCTAGATTAAAAAAATATATATATCTGGCACCCTCTCCTCTACTGAAACTCTCCTTAGCCTCCACAAGACCTTGTTCATAAGATTGCACCTAACTCCTTCATATAACATGTCAGACTTTTGGAATCTGGCCCCAAAGGACTTCTGGACCTCCTCTCTCATTTCCTGAATTCAGCCCCTGTCCCCACCATTTACCCACTCCCAGCACACACAGCACACAAGCACGAGCTCCCAGGGCATGCAGCGCACAGGTGCATGACTCACCCACGGCAAGCAGGGCAAAGCTTCTCGGTGGATGCTCCTGTGGGGCCAACGGTGAAGACAACAGCGATGGTGTTCCAGCCGAAAGGAGCAGCGTGGAAAACTACGGTGGGGCTCTGTGGGAATTTTTCATAAAATGCTGTTTACCAGACAAGGTATAAAAATAAGTGAGGCTACAAATACAGGCTGCGGGCAGCTCAGGAATGTATTTAATGTAGCACCAACCAAGCACAACAAAAGCCAGCCTGCTCACACACACAAACCGCAACACACTACGTTGCACACTGTCCAGTAGTTACCTGAGATTCTTGGCTAAAAGTAAGTGCACAATCCCATTAAATAGCTGAGCAGACTGAGACCTAAGAAGTAGACCGAGCCTATGAGAAGCTAAATCATTGGTTCCTGGGATGATTCCATGATACAGGACGAAGGCTGGGGTACAAAGCTACTGCTGTATTCCCACCCACTACACTGCAGCAAGAGCTTTGATGGGCCCTGTGAGAGCCAAAGTGTCCCCGAACTTCCATGATAGCTGTAGGCCTAGCTCAGAAGCTTTTTGTGAAGTTCTTCAATTTAGAGGAATTTTTTTTATCTTAAATGATTCGCTTCCCTGTAATTAGTATCCTAATGATTTGTTATTGTTTATTCCTTGACAATGCAGGTAGGCATAGTCTGAGATTTGCACAATCATTTATTTCATGGATCTACTTGATAAATCCTTAGTGAAGAGTCTCCTCTGTCTGCACAGCTGGTATCAATATCCATAAAAGGCCATTTAGGCAATTTGTCAGTGCTCTAAGTATCAATTTCCTGGGGTGAATGTCTTTAGTAGCCTCCACTTATGTTTAAAATTGTTTTATGTTTTTGCTTTTGATTTTTTTTTTTTTTTGGAAAAATATGTAAAACCAGAAATAGTCTTTGTTTAAGAGACGGGCTATTCACCTTATTTCTGACAAATGTGCCACATACACTCACTGGAAGAAAGATAGGCTCTTTAATAAATGATGCTGGGAAAACTGGCTTTGCACATGCTAAAGATTAAAACTGGACCCATACCTTTCACCATGCACTAAAGTCGAAACTGACCAAAGATTTAAATATTCAAATGGAAACATTACATCTGCTAGAAGATAGAACCGGTAGAACTCTTGTTGACATGGATGTAGGCAAAGACTTTATGAACAAAACCCTTATCACACAGAAACTGTCACAAAAGCTTTTGCACAGTAAGAAAAGAGCTGGGCTATTGTTTTGTGAGGAATGGGTTGACAAAAACTTATATCCAATGATGCACAGTGACAGCTCAAAGTGTAGGATAAAAACAGAGGAATCAGTGTCAAGCTGCAACCTGAAGATCAGGCTTATTTGAAATCACCATAACAAAGATAACACTAATGTCTTAATAGCAACGCTAAGGTAGGTAAGTGTTTAGAAAGGTATCTAACACTTTTGAAGGCATTTCCTTTTCACTTTGAAAATGTTTGTAGGCACTTTATGGAAAAAAGCACTGTTAAATTTGTTTGCCTCCACTTAAAAGTGATCGATAGTAAAACATATTTTATATTGAAAAACTTAATTAATTTCAACCTGCTCAATCTCTTAAACATTTATGTCATTTCAAGGCAAAGATTATAGCTGTATTCCCAGAATGAATACCAAGCTTGCTTTACAGTAACAAACAAAATTTGTTAAATCAATGAATAAAGACAAAATTAAACTAGATCAATCAACCTAAAATTACTGATAGTAAATATGGTATCTTGCTACTTACCCTGTGTACTATATATCTTGGAACATGGTTTCTGTCTTAATTCAGTTTTGTACCTACAACAGAATACCAGAGATTAGGTAATTTATAATGAACAGAAATGTATTGATACCTAATTTAGAGCAAGGGGCCACAGTCTAGCCGGGACCTTCTTCCAAGATCACCTCATGACAGAAAGCCCAAGAGAGGCCAAGAGAAAGCAAAAGAAGAGCTACTGTTCCCTTATAGGGAATCCTCTTCCAAGATTAGGCACTCATTCCTGTAATCCAGGGACATCCCCATGGCCCCAGAATCCTGAGTGGGACCTGTCTCTCAGCACCAGCTCACTGTAGTCCATGTTCACACATGAGTTTGGGGAGACACATTAAAAACCACAGCCATTTTCTGGTTAAAATAATTTCCAGTCCTAGAAAATCATTGTATGAAGTAGCACATTTGTAAAACAGCAGAAGTTCCTAAAAATTCATTGCAGCATAAGATTGAAAGCATTCTAATGTTCTATCAAGAGGCAGCTACTTACTTTGATCCAGTGAAATACCTGGAAGCCAACACAAAGGATCAGCACCCCTGTCTGTCTGTAAGTGAACAGTGAAAGTGTGTTTTTGTTTTGAAACAGACTCAAACATACAGAAAACCTGCAGGAAGAATGCAAAGTCTTCTCCTGAGTCACTTTTTAGTGAACAGTGGTTATGTTGCTTCATTGCCTCTGAACCCTTTAGTATTTCCTTTAAAAAGGCCATTCTCCTATGTAGCCCCCAAATCAGCTTCTGAACACCAAACACTGGAGACTACCAATCAGTAAGTTCTTGCGATCTAGTTCTGACACTCCTGTAGAGTTACGGTAATTATCCCAATCATGTTCTTGATACTAACAGCGATCAGTTCAGAATAATACATCACCTTTGTGTCGTGAGTTTTACTTTCTCACTCACCCTGGAACCATTCCTGTCTTTCCTTACCTGTGTGATCTTGGCACTTTTGATAGTTGCAGATCATTTATTTTGCAGAATGCCCCACATTTGGGTTTGTCTCGTGTTTCCTCATGCTCAGGTCAGATTATTTGCACTTGGGAAAACATTCTTTTCAGTTTATGCAATGGTGCCTGGTTTCAGTTTATCTCATTACAGGTCATCTTACTTTGATCCCTTGATTCTGGAGGTTCCCGCCAGGTTTCTCCTCTGGAGGTTATTATTAGTGCCTTTGAAATGAGGAAACAGTATTAAGAGCAGAGTTGGGGATTGTGTATTTGTGGGATGGTTTGGGACAGTCCTAGTAAATTGCATATTGTATTCTGACTTATTTTAAAAATCTAGCTTCTGTAGAAGCTCTTGCTTTCTTTGTTTCATGTATGATATCTAAAAGGTTAACATCCCCCTTTAACTTATGTGTTTCATGTATCTTCTTCTCCTATTTAAATTTAACATTTGCCTTTAAAACCTGATTGCAGTGGCTGGATAAATGTCCCTGAAGGCCCATGTAATGAGGCTTGGACTCTGCCCTGTGGTGCTGTGGGAGGTATTGGAACCTTGAAGAGGTGGGACCTGATTGGAAGTCTTTAGTCATGTGGGGTTGTGGCTTTGTGGGGGACACTGGGTCCCAGATTCACTATCTCTGCTTTTTGGCTGACATGAGGTCCACAGTTCGCTTTACTGTGTCCGCCCAGCATGATGTGCTGTCTCACTATGAGCCCAGAGCAGCAGGGCCAAAAACCATGGACTGAAGCCTCTGAAACCATGAGGCAGAGTAAAGCTCACCTCTTCCTTACCTCAGAGTCGCAGTAAGCTGACTTACACAGTAAGGTAGCACTGGGTTGGTGCCTTCAGCTGATGGAGCCTCACACTTCTCAAAACGTGCAGTTTTATTATCCATATAGTAGACATGACTCTTCATAGCTTTTAGCAGATGTTGACTGTTGTCTGCTTAGCAATTATTGTACAGAAAATTAATTTTTTTTTTTTTTTTTTGCTCAGGTAGAGGGCAAGGATCCCTGCATCTTGGAGAGGATAGGATTTTGACTCTGATCCCCGAGGCTGATTGATTTTATGAGCCAAAATATTATTCCTCTTGGCCTGCGATTGGTGTACAAGTGGCACGTGGCTTGTCTAAGGTGGGTATCCTGGGAGGGTAGGGAGCAGGTCTCTGTTTCCTAAAGCAATGCTGCAAAGCTACCCAAAGAGGGGAGTCTTTCATCCCGCTCCTCCCAGCATTGCTCCTTTAACTGCTCACCCAAACAGATGATGCCTGAAGTCTAATGGCCCCTCACAATGGCAGGGCAACAACAGGAGGAGAAGTGCCAACTTTCAGGAATGGGCACACGAAGAAACAAGATCCAGGTCCCTGATTCATCACGGAACTGCTGACTCAACGCCAGCAACCACCTACCTCCCAGCTTCTGTTAGAGAAGAATCAAATGCCTATTTGTTTGAGGCTCTGTAAGTCAGGTTTCTGTTATCTGCAAGCTGTATCCTTTCTAACTGAAACCCTGATTAAAGGAGCCTACCCCACGTTCCCAATCTCCACTAAGAAAAGATCATTGTTAATACTGTATCCTTCACTGCAAGATAGAAACTGGAGAGTTTAGAGGAATGAGTGAGGGATTTCTTTCAGAAGGCAACTAAGTAAACAGCAGAGAGTGGTGTCTGCATCTGACTTTTGTGTTTAAAGGGGAACAAGTAATATAGTTCTATTTTTGTAGTAATATATCCAAAGGACACCTATACACACATCTACCTTGGAGTAGGGCAGGGAGGAACAGGGTAAATTGGGAATTGAGTGATAATGAAGAATAAAAAGTGAACAGAAAATAGGAGTAAACTTGTTATCAAAAATTGTGCTTACAAAAGAAAAAATTTTGATGAAATTTTATTTTAGTTTTTTAATGTCATTTACTGGCTCAGTGATTTGGGGCAAGTCCCTTAAACTCTCCAGGTCCAATCCTCTTATCTATGGAATTGAGGAACAAGCATTCTCTAATTAGACCTTTTTCATTTCCAAAACTACACAGTTCAATAATGTCATCATAAGCAAGATTACATGATTACATTTAATAATTTAGATTATTCTAGTTAAGTTATCCCTCCTGGAAACGATCATCTGGACCAATGTTTCATTGGCAGTGCACTGCAGTCTGGGAGTGGCTTCGAAGGGACAGTTTGGAAAGGTTCCCTTACAAAATGCTGAAACTATTCAGACCGTCTAGAGTGCCAGCATGGATGTTTCAACCACTGTGGGCCCCTCTGGATGTGCTTTAATGCGCTTCCATTTTCTTCTCTCCATGGAACTGGACCCTTCTAACATCCCAGATGATTAACTTACCAATCCTGTACTGCATTCATGATCTTTCTTTGCTCCCACAGAATGAAGTCCACGAGCATGGGGAATCGTTGCTGAGCTCACTGCGTATGGATCAAGTAATTGGCAGAGCTGTGCCCAGCGAATACTTGCCGGATGAGTGAATGAGTGAAGTCATGGTGGACCAGATCCCTCTAACTAAGCTTTCCCCAGCGTGTGGGTGGACCAGCAGGAAAGACAGCAAATCAGCAGTTTGCACATTTAGATGCTTGGATGGTTTGTCAAGAAAATGCACAGAATCATAGTTTTTTTTAAAAAGTTCATCTTTTACAGCAGAAAGTTTTGCAGTACAAGCAAGGATCTTAAGAACCCAGAAACAGGAAGCAGATTTAAGTATTTACTGACCACGGAGTGGTCTTTTCTGTATTAAAGCTAATCTCGCGTGTTGACGATGTGCAGAACTGACAGCAGATTCCGCTGAGGCTTTATGTCTAGAACGGACTCCAGAGCTCGAAGCCCTCCGTGGAGTTACTCAAGCCTCAAGTTTTCATGGTCTCCTGTCAGGTTTCCGAGGAAGGGCTCCTGGGGTGAAAGGCTCTCTGTGCTTCTGCCTGCCTTGGCCCCTGCTCTCACTCTGCCCATTTCACTGGTGGCCGCATGCTGGGTGTGCAGATGTCAGTGGGCTGCCCTTGTCATCTCGGGCTCACTGACAGGTGCTGACCCCTTCTCCACGGTGAACATGCCCGGCCTGAGGTGGCCGCTGTCCCCACCATGCCTAAGTAAGGCCTTCTCTCTCTAGTGTCCCTTTGCTCAGTTGCAACGGAGCGGGGTAGGGCTGCTCAGAGTGACTTGAGCCTTCATGGGCATTGCTTTCTGCTTTGCACTGAGTCCCAGGGATGAGAGCTCATTGTCTGTCTCTTCCTCTTCCTGTTTCTTTTTCCCGCCCTCCCCCCACACCTGAAAGGCTAGCTGATTGCATCTTATAATTTTGCTTCCATGGTTCTCCTACCTTGCCCTGCAAGCAGGACAGACAGGTCTGCATGTATTTGGACAGCAGTAAACAGGATTAAAATTCCTTTCCACTCAACTTCTGGGTCCTATGAGAATTTGTGAATCCAGGAGGTTTGTGTGGGTAGAGGGCCAGGGAAAACAAGGCCACTCCTGCTTCAGCGTATCATGCAAGAGAGGCGCCCTGACCCGGGCTGGCAGCTTGCCTTTGGCTCCGTTTGTTCTCTGAGGTTTGACAACTCACCTCTCTTCTCTGGAAAGCAGTTCCTTCATTTGTGAAGTGAGCATAATGGCAATATCTAAATGATTAATATACTAAGAGCATGTGGATCACTCAGAGCTCAAAGAAGTCCTCAGAAGCTAACATATGTAATCATTGTTATCATGCTTTTATCTTACCCTTCACCCATTTTCATGATTATCCCTGTCATCATCATTGTGACCATCACCACCCTCCTCCTCACCACCATCATCATCATCATCATCATCATCATTGTCTCCTCGAACCTAAATGAAATGTCTCTAAACTCTAGATTTCTACCCAGACTCAATTATTTTATTGTCCCAACACAGTATGGAGTATCCTCTGGGGGAGAAAATGTCAACTTCCTAAGACACAATTGTTAATTTATTAAGAATATTAAAAATTAGAGTGACAGAGTTGCTTATTGCAGTTCATGCCTCCAATAAATGAGACTGAGTTACCTTTTCTTAGAAAGGTAGTGTCTAGAAAAATGCTTAAATTTCAACTAGGAAATGCAGTGTGCGTAATTAGAATCTCGGAGACTGTATTATAAAATTCCTGTCCAGAAAAGAAACATCTTCAACATTTTTTCTCTTCTCCATTTGCTATCTAAAGGCTTTGTCCTTTAAGTCCAGATGCTGAAGGGGAAAAGAGATCATTTCTAGGCACAATAACTCAAAATTAAAATGCTACATATTGTCTAGGAATTGTATGGGATTTTAAAAAATCTCTCTGTTCCTACATGGGAGAGATATGTGTAGTGATGTTGGCGACATTCATAAAGCTGTAGACAGAGCATTTGGAAGCTGGCCTTGGTGAGAAATATTGGAAAAGGATGCAATCTGCCAAAATGATACTCTGAGGAACTGAAAATCAATAAATTGAAATAGAGAAAAGTGGACGTAAATTTGGAACCCAAAGTTTGAGATCCATCACTTCCGAGACAGAGCAGTGTGAAACAGACAAGAATTTTTCTTTGTGATACTTTAATACTTTAGCACAATTATTCTTGGTAGACATTCGGGGCTCTTGTTTTTCATATTTGTGTGTGTGTGTGTTTGCTTTTTTATAAATATAGTTTCTCATTCTTAAGAGGTAGAGAGATTAAGTTTTTGAGTTAACTTTTTGTTTTGAAATGATTTTAAATTTACAGAAAAGGAGTCTAACAATATAGTTATCTGTGACAGCCCTTTATCTTCATCTGCTTTCTGCTTCTGTAATAGAATACCTGCTGCTTGATAGCTTATAGAGGCTGGAGACTTGTGTAGCTTACTTTTCTAGAGGCTGGAAGTCCAGGGTTAGCTGGCTGCATCTGACAAGGGCCATATGCTCATCGTGCCATGCAACCAAACTGAAAATCACATTCAAGATGCAGTTTTGCTTTATGACAACCTGCTCTCGCAGTAACTGGTCTAGTGGCCTTATACAGGCATTAATCCCACCTAATGACCTCATCACCTCTGAAAACTCCATTTTCTAACATTGCTGCAGTAGCAATCAAATTTCCACATGAGTTTAGAGGGAACAAACAGCATCCAAACCATAACTCCCGCAGTGAGGTTCCCAAATGATTGGCACTTTAGACTGTGTGTATTGTATTGCCATTCAGTTCATGTTTTTCATATATATACAAACAAGTATGCACACATATATGTAGTAATATGTGTATGTATACTTATAACATGTTACCGTAATATACATAATATGCACACATACAATATACATAATACTATGGATTTTTCCTGACACATTAGAGATCTTATTATCTTTTTTTTTTTTTTGTCTTTTTCATTTTTATCGGTACTAGGGATCGAACTCACGACTGCCTGCTTACAAAGCAGGCGCTCATGCCGCTGAGCTAAATCCCCAGCCCCGAGATCTTATTATCTCTTAATTCTTCAATGTACAGTTTATGTAGTGGAGCAAGGACATTGTCTTACATATTTACACTCAAATTGTTAAAACTGAGGAGTTAGCAATTAAAACATTACCAGTTAATCCACGTTTAAATTCTATTCAAATTTTGCTAGTGGTCCTAATGTAATATCTTCCAGGAAGTCCAGGATTCAATCCAAGGTCCAATGACCCAAAACAAGATCACACGTTACATTTAGCAGTTCTGTTTCCTCAGTCTTCTTCAGCATGGAACAGTTCCCTAGACATTTCTTGTCTTTATAGCCTTGGCATTTTTAAAACTATTTTGTAGAATGTCCTCAAATAGAGGTTCATCTCATCTTTTCTTCAGATTTTTGCACTTTTGGCAGAAGTACCCGGAAGTGATGTTGTGTTCTTTTCAGTGTATCATTTCTGTAGGCACATGATGTCAAAATGTTTCATGCTTGATGCTATTTAATTTTTATCACTTAGTTTTGATATTTTGCAAGTTTCTTCATTGTAAGGTTACTTAATGGGTGTTTTGTTCCTATTAAAATTTAAACAATTTATGAGGAACACTTTGAGACTATTATATATTATTCCTCTTCGTGCTTTTACCTACAAATTTTATCACCTTTGATGACTTTAGCTATATATACAAATACTGACTCAGAATCCTGTTTTAGACAGTGGGTTATAATTTGTTGTTATTATTGTTATTACTTATACTATTGTTCTATAGTTTGATGACCGGAATATCCCAGGCTTTGCCAATAAAAGCCCCATCATGCTGGGCTCTTCCTGACCTGTCTTGATTTCTCAAACATTTGCTTACTTTCTTGTACAAGGCATTCTAGGCTAATCTATTTCCTTGCCCACTCAGAGTTTAGTCCCTAGGTTTCCTTTAGTGCAGAATGCGACTTTGAATTCAAGGCCTGAATAGCTTGATACTTGTTGATATCGTAGTGTTGTCACATCAAGACCCTTTGTGCAAACAGAATCGGGAAATACACCCGGATGGATGTACCCGACCTGCGACTCCATCCGTTTGTGTTTAATTAGGTTTAAAACTCATGGCTCTGCACTACTAACCCCAATCCCAATTCAGTACTACAAGGTAACTACTACCATTTGCCCTTTCCCTTTGTAACTCTTTCTCCAAAAGTGAGAAAATTACTTCCTAATATTTCTTTATTAATTGAGCTGTTCATTTGCTCAACATAAACAGCATCCTGACTTTACAGGTCTTTTCTCCTATCTAATGATGCTAACCACCCTGGCATCCCTCAGTGTGCCAGCTGATGGTTCAGTTCGAATCTTGGGGTGTGGGATGGGGAGAGAGACTCTTTGCACAACTGTTGTTCATGATGTTTGTAATGGATTGTGTCAACTCCAGTAGTTTAAAAACTTAACTAACTTGACTCAGCAATTCTGGGGTGTAGGGGAACCACCCTGGCCCAGCTCCCCTGGATGGTAGAACCAGGAAATGAGGAAGGATGGACTCACTTCTGTTCTTCAGAGGAGCTCCAGACTTCGCCTTCACCTCTCCTTTCCTCCAGTCCAGACTCTTCCGGTTCTATATCAGATCCTTCAGCCTTCTGGGACACTCTTCAGCCTCCCCTCGCAGACCTGTCAGCCTCCTGACATGGACGTGCATAGACACTGCAGTGAGCTCCAGACCTTGGACTAAGACCTTCAGTCTCCAGTGTGCGACACCGTCTGCAAGCTTCCTCATCCAGCTCTGGCTGACCATCATAAGCCAATCTTGTAATTTCTTATCCATTTGAATATCTCATGCTATGTCTGTTTCTTTAGTAAACCCTGACTGATACAGTGATTGAAAATTTTGATTTCATAAAATCTGTCCTTTCTTTCATATTGTTATTGTATTATAAGGTAGATCTATCTATTTCTCCATCCTTTTTACCTACCATCTGTACAAATAATGACTCAGAATCCTGTTTTTAGTCAATAGGTTATAATTTATTATTAATATTGCATATTTTGGTGACTGAACTACCATCAAATGTTACAACATCGTGTAGAAATGGCATAGTGAAATAAAAGACTGAAATTCTGTTTAAAATGTTCTGTCACTTGAGATAGCCATGTGAGACCACACATTTCACCTGACTTATGCTAAGCACAATTCTCCCGTTAATAAAGAGTATCATACGAGTCTACAGGTACATGAATCTGTATCAGCGGCACAAATGGCAATGTAAATACAGTTAGCTGTTCCAATAATTGCATAATCCAAGTTATCCTCATGATGATGGATGATCACATTTGGGAAAAACCTATGAGAGGGTTATTGGAAATGACTGGGCAGGCTTCGTGCCCCTGCCTTCCCAGGTCGCGGACCCTCTGTTGAAATCGCTTGGTTCCTTCTCCTTCTCTAAAGCAAGGTACCTGCATCCTGATACCTGGAATCCCATACTTGTTCAGAAGCTGTCTTTCTGACCATCATGCACATAACGGTGAGCACTGTCTTCTTGGGACATCTGTGCTGCCGGTGTATCTGCAGCACATTCCTCTTGCTTCTCTTCCTTGCCCCTCTCCTCCTCTTTTCTTCTCTCCTCCTCCTCTTCCTCTTCCTTCTATCTTCTGTTCTTCTTTCTTCTCTTTCACTCTTCCTTTCCTCTTCTTTCTCCTCTATCTCTGCCAAGGGCTGAGGTATTTTAAAAGTTGTGTTTGCTGCAGATGTTACCCTCTTTAAGAAGGAAAAGCATTTTCACTTTTTTTCCCTTGCTATTTTTTCATTTTAAAGTGCTACAATAAGGGAAACGAAAGTGAGGCATACAAGTTTTGGTGAATAAAGCATCATATTACACATTACCTAATCCATACAGACCTTCCCCCATTTCCAGATCATTGTAGTAATATGCTAAAAACTTAGGAAGATTAGCAAGGACCTCCATGTAAATGACTACTTTATTTATTTATATTTGTTTATTGTTTTAGGGACAAGGTCTCACTATGTAGCCTAAGCTAACCTCAAAGTGGCAGCAATCCTCCTGCCTCAGTCTCTCGAACGTTGAGACTGTAGGAGAGTTCGCTCAACTCACAAATGAGTACTTTATGGAGAATTTTACAACACTCTGTGGACAAAATTTCATTGGTGTATTCAGAGTTCTTGATAAAAATCATATTAAAATTGTTTCATCATGCCACGTCAGGGAGTCTTTTTTTAACTGCCAGCAAACTGTTTCAATCTGATCCCACATCCTCATATTCACTGAATGGCATTTCTCCAGTCAAATTTGCTTAACTACATTGAGCCCTAAAAACAGAAACTACAATTATTGTGAATTTGTTATTACAGTGATTGATTTCTTGTGTTTTAATTTTTTTCCCAAAAGTCCAAGATCCTATTGTCTATCTAAGAGCTCTGGAGAAAATATCATTGCACTCAGAGAAATTAATGTAAAGGATTATAAGCAAAGTGATACTGCTCCCTTATTGTCTCTCATAAGATCCGTAAGCCTTTATGTTTGTGTTAGTGCTTGGGTAGTGAGGGGAATTAATGTTGTAAAACTTTACTGATAAAGAATCTTTCTCAAATAGATTAATAATTATCCAAGAACTTAAATGTCTTTAAACAAAAGAGGCTTCGAGTTCCAGATGGACTATTTGATGGTACTTGTACTCCAAAGAGTCAGTTAGGAAATGTTCACCTAGTCAAGAAAAGCAGGCTGTTAATTCAGTAAGACACTCTTACAGGTTGGCAGAAGGGGATTCAGAATTAATACTGTCAATAGCTTTTATTTAAAGAGATCATATTTTACTTTACTTCCTTCACTTATTCTAATAACAATATACAAACTGAAAGTGTAAAGTCCTTTGGTACATGCTACTTTGTAGAAAACTACACAGGCATATTTACAGTCTCACGTTAATTCAAACAGAAGGATTCTTAGAGTAAGGTGATAATTTCTGCTTGCAAAATATGGTAGAAGCACAAATTTTTCTTAGATTATACCACCTTGAACAAGGCTATGGTAGGGTCTACCAGGATCTGTCAATTTAAAATATCTGCTTTTTACTATAAAAATATTAAAAATTTAGTGGGATTCTTTTTGTTTGTTTGTTTTTTACTTCTTAGTAAGGAAGACTAGTTGCATTATAGTTACTGAATGAAATATATAGGATTTTACAAAGAGAAAGTGTCTTTTCTTTGGAATGACCAAAAAATGAAGTTAGCTTTTAAAAAGTAAAATTTCAGAAAATTTTCACTCCGTAATTGATCTCTTCTGGTTGGCACCTTATTACTTTACTTTTGTCAATGAAAGTCAGAATTAAACTAAAATCTGATGGGGCTAGCGTGCCCCCGGTGGAGGAGCAGACCAGGGTGTGGAGTCACTGAGTCTGATGGAGACTGGTCCAGGCTTGACCATCTGGGACAGTGGCCAAGTGGTCCTGGTGCAGAATAACTGGGTGGAGAGACCCATAGGCAGCATTTCAAGGAAAAGATTGAGCAAATTAAAATTGAGGAGTTGGTCCTATTTTTATTTCACTTAAGGATGCCTGCTTTTTTATCCCTTGTTCTCTAAACAAGAGGCTGTGAAATTTTCCAATTAAAATGGAACACGCTCTGTGTAGGTCTACAGGACACCAGATAATTGGATGGACACTGTCCTCACCATGGATCCCTCCCTACACTCACTAGATACCCACACTACTCTCTTTCACACGCTAAACATAGAGCTCTTGGGACTATTGGAAATGCTGCCAAGTGTTACTAAGAGGGTGCGTGGGAGGCTTCGCGTGTGCTGGTAATCTTCACTATCTGGGTTGTATGGTGACTGTGTCACTTTTTAAAGGTCACTGAAACATATTTCAGACTCCTACATTGGGTGGTAAGAAGACAATAAAGCATCTTTCTTATACTCTAGAATGCAGGCGTTTAGAACTCCTTATTCCTGAGTTGTTACGTTGCTCTTTGTCTCGGAAGTCACTGTATGAAAGATCCACATACCAAGTAGTATAATTAATTCATGATTCCTGTGTGACAAGGTGACTGATGCAGAAGGTGAGAGCTTGGGAATTCTGTGCTGCCACGCATGGAAACAGATCACAGGGTGCATTCCTCTACCTGAAGTGCATTTGCCGGTGAGTTTGCATTGTGTTGTTTTGTTGTTTTTTGAGACATGGTTCTGCTGTAGAGTTCAGGTTGGCCTTGAGTTTACCATGCAGCCCAAGCTGGCCTCAAACTTGCAGCGATTCTTCTCGTCAGCTTCCTGAGCACTGAGATTATGGGTGTGTGTCACCAAGCCTGGCAGCCAGTGAGTGTATTTACTCTCCTGAGTCATTAGTTCTGTTGTTGCTTCTGAAGTTGAAAAACCTTTAGTTTTAGCAGCAGGCAAAAAGTGGGCAGAAGGAGACAGGGCAAATCTGCAATTTGTCAGATGGATTGTCAAACAGAGTTTTAAAATTTAAGTGGAATGGGGGCATACAATGTCTTAAGGGGAAGCATGCAGGTGAAGAAACGGTAAAAACCAGGCCACAGCAGGGGTAAGTAGAAGACCGATGTCCCTGCAGAAATGGGATGGACCACACAGGTGTGGCCAGAGCAAAGGAGATAAGGTCCAAGGCAAGTAGGAGCTTCCGGAGAGCTGGAATAACGGGTGACCCACTCATGCATCCAACAAATATTTATTGAGTGCCTGCTTTTGAACAGGGACTATGTTGGGCACTGTTAATGATGGAACATTTGCCTTGCAGAGCTGTGTCTAAGGAGCTGGTTCATTAGAATTCACCTTTTCAGAGATGCGATTCTGCACTGATGAGGAAATGCCTATATTTATCTTTAAAACAGTATAGTTTTTATTTGTAAACACCACCTATTCCTGACTTGAGCAGAAGATCGGATAGAAAAGGAAGGGAATCTCGACTGAATTCTTCCATTTTTATCTAATCACTCTCTAACAGCTTTATGCATTTGTAAGTAATTCGGGCAGTAAATAGTAACAGGAGTACATCGTCTGATACGTGACTTGTGCCAACGCCAACTGAGTACAAGCTTTGCTTCTATGGCGCATCATGAATTATTCAGCAGTTCTCTGTAAATGGCCATTTTTGGAATCTGTATATTTGAAGTTTATCCATTCTAAATGGTAGACTTAATTTGTGCTTACCCGGAAATTTTAAAGTTGTCATTCTGACATGTTGCTCTTAGCAAACCATGTATTCTTTTGCATGGAAGTTATATTTTAGAATGAAGGAATACTCTATTAAATGTGCACACACACACATACACACTGCAATAATTGATAGCATAAAGTCATATTGTAGAAGTTCTGGGCACACTTGTGTACACCATTTGTGATGACATAGAGATCTTACAATAAATAGATTTGTTTTTTTTTTTAATTACAGTGCTAAATATGTGGGTATGTGTGTGGAAAAGATATGTAGATGGACTCCCAAAGAAAAGGGTCAGAGGCTATCAATATTAAATGGTGGCCTCAGTGTGGGCTTGCAGTCAGGCAGCCCACTGGATATCTGCTTACTATCTCTGTGGCCTGGGCACTTACCTAACCATGCTTGTTTAGCTCAGAAAGAAACCTCTACTTCTTTCTATGTAAAATGAGGATTACAATATTACTCATCTCCTAGGGTCACTGTGATGTTACCAAGAGGTGAAGTATGCAATTAGGTTCCCTTAAGCATTGAAAAGAGGACTTTTGGGAGGGAAGAAGAAGTGGAAGTAAAAAGAATTAAAATGTGTTATGTCCATGTAATGACTCCCCATGGGGAATACAATTGTTATGCCCTGCCATGGGGTACTAATGAAAACAAAAGTTTTAGAGTGTGCATACAGAAAGTTTTAAAAAAATTTAAAAGGAGAACTCTTAGATTTCAGCAGCGACTTCCATACCAGCCAAATTTATCTCAGTACTGTCTGCTGCTTTTGAGCATGTTTCCCTGCTTAAGGTCTGGCTCTGGTAACAGACTGTTGGAACACAGCAGGACATGCTCATGTCTCCCAGAGAGCCGGGCGCTCCTGCGGCCCCCGCACTTCCCTGAGCCTGTGCCTTCTTAGTGTCTCTGAGGTGCAGTGGAGTTTCAGTGTGCTAAGTTATTGGGTTCCCGGGTGCACTGACGGTGTAGAGTGAAGGGGAAGGAGGCGTTTAGAACTGCAGTTGTCAGGGTAGACTCCCCATCCATGTCCGGGG